TAGAGCAGAATGTGTTAGTATATACCTCTCCACTGACAGGAATATATTGCGGTAAGTATGGGTGGGGTCTATATTATCATGCTCCACCTATTTCTAGTATATTTGGTTATGAAGGAGCTGAAGCTGAAGACATAATGTATGTGAATTGGTTGAGCATGTTGAGGGCAGGACTTATAGCATTAGAGTTTTATACACCTGAAACAAAGAAATGGAGACAAGTATGTTACTGATCTAATCTTTATTTATACGTGACACTTCATTATTGCACATTTAGAAGGATAATGCATATACATGTACATGTACCTGCATGTATATATTCAAGCAAACTAGCAATATAAGAATGATGTTGTATTTGTATGATATACAAATGGCCAGATGTGTCAATAAGCATACTCTCAGACACTGTTGCTATGATTTCCCTCATTAGCTGATATTACTACTCTATACTGATCTGTTACTGGTGTCATTCTAATCCAATGTTGTTCCACCCACCACTCATAGGCTCACATGCAGGCCTGTTATGTTATATTGCGTGTATTGATGGATTCTGATACTCCTGTATTTAATATTGAGAGTGTTACTGGCTCTGATGGTAAGCCTGACCTCTTGATTAGGTTTGATAGGAATAAACTGGAGACCATTGCTAAACCTGTCATTGGAGAATTCTTAAATAAACTGCAGGTATGTAGTTTATGCATGTAATGAATTTTGGTACATAATCATTCCTTTGCCTGTTTGTTTGTACTCCATTATTGTCCATTGTTTACCATGATAAAAATTGACTAGGGTACATTATTCAAACGTAAGTTATATATGTATTTGGCAATGTTCATGACTCAATAGCCAATGCTGTTATGCTAAAGATGTTCCTTTTTCTAGATCTACAAGTCTACAGCAGACATTAGCTCAGGACAGTTATTATATAATAAATATTGAACTGTTACTGATGATCATTTGATGTTAAGAGATATTGTAATGGCTAGGAAGATGCCTAGAAAGTTATTTGTACAGCCACACACTTCAATTGATACTGGTAAGCAGGGGATGGGTGGATGAGAGATGAGGAGATTGCAATATCTTTGCAACAAGAGTTGAATTGGGAATCTGCCTTACCTTCATTGTAAGGGAGCAACGGCTACTTATGTGTGTTATCCTCAATAGTAAATTAGTCACTTCCACCTATTTCTTGTACCTTGTAAAAACAAGGTTAGCCTGCCTGACCATGGGATGGTTCATTTGCATAGGGTATGCCATGAATATTGTATAGAGCCTGATGGCTTGAAATGTAACCATTTTATAACTGTATTTCTTTCATTAGATGGTTCTGTTGTTCTTAATGAGTTTGATAGTTCATTTGACGGAATCATTTCCTCATTTCTAGCAAGATATCCTAACTATGATACTGAACTGGAGTCTCTTTGGAGAAACAATCAGCATTATTGGAAATAAAAATAGACACAATACAACACATTTGATACAAATTAAAGAATTTGTGTGTGCATGTCAAGTATTTCATTGTCACATTGTTGCATGTGCATAGTGTGCAGTGGTAGTGGAGAGTTAGCGCCTTTCCAGTGATCAAGCAGCTAGACAACACAGTTTTTGGGTATTTTGCTGTGCTGAGATGCAATCTAAATGAAAATAATAGACTGCCATAACACTAGGCAAGCATGTGGCATTCATCAAAGTGTATACATGACCCAATGAGATTAGACTAACCATTTCACATTTTCTGTAACAGTAGCTGGTCTCTTGCTCAGATTGCACTAAGAACTGACAGTGAGCATCTGGTGGCTGGTCCCTCTTGTACCAGAGAATATCACCAGCAACAATAACGGCGGGTGAGGTTGCTGCTCCTCTAGTGCTCTCCTGCACTGGAGCTCGAGGGGGAGCTGCCACTTGCTCCAATATAGCTCTTAGTCTTCTGGGCAATATTATAAGTAACCATAAAAATATCATTTAAAACTGATAGGCAGCAACACAAATAGTATTAGATACTACTAAACTGAAAATGGCAAATCCACCAATCCTTTTTATAGTCTTCCTGCTGTAGTAACACCCCTCCCCCAGCAGCTATGTCATATCATATGGGAATAATGATTACAACGTATTATGATTATAATAACTGGTATCCGTAAGTTTAAAGTTTAAAGTCCAACATCCACTAGGCAACTTTGTTGAAATCAACAGAAATTTTGTTGCCAAAAGTAGAACACTGTTCTACTTTTGGCAACAAAGTTGACATACATCAAAGTAACCACAAAGTTGCTTTCAACAAAGTTGCCATAGTGGATGTTGGGCCAACTATGCTCATTATTATGCTCATATTTTAAGCTTTATTCAAAATTGACTAGCTATCAAGTTGCATACATATTAATTATACATGTATATACATGCATCTGTTATAATTTTAATAAAAATAATATTGTATTAATGCCAAAATCTGAAAATGTTTCCAGTGACTTCGAGTCACTGGAAAATACGCTTGCGTAGGTGGGTACTAAGCAGTTGGGTTTTTGTACTAGTACTTGTAACATTTAATCAAAATTGTTTGGTCAGGGAGGGTCAGAAATTTTTGACCCATTATGCTCCAAATATGCCAGGATAATAACTTGCCCTATTATGCTCTAAATTATGCTAGCATAATCTGCCTAGCCCTAGCCAGAAGTGGCAATAGGGTGTACAGTTGTAGATGCCCACACATTAGACAAAAAATGCTGTCAAAGCTACAAAAATTTCATTATTTTAATATCTGCAATGTGTGACTGTGAATGTGTGGATAGCTTCAGCAGAGTATGTGAAATGCAATCAGTGTAAAACCAATGGCAAAAATTATCAGCAATGCACATCAAAGCGTTTCAAAAACAATGCCAGTGTGAAAAGGTCTATTCAGATTATCAGTTACTATTACAAATGCATTCAATGATAAATACATGTATTAAGGTAGTTGTACAAGTCCTTTAGACACAAGATGATTATATATCTTTCTAGTTTTATTTACATCAATACGACACAACTTCCTAGCATCCATCAGACGTAGCTTCCCTCCACATTTCCTACTCTCAGCAATCATTACTCCTTTACAGTGTAAATATACATCAGGTAATATACGATGGACTGAACATATCTGTATAAAAAGGAAAGAGGAATAAGTGCAGACATTGCATCAGTTACTCCAAAATCATCTATACTGATTATTTACATTTATAGTAAGTATTTATTTATGCATGAGTATGAATTACATCTTAAGGGCTACATCATCAATACAATAATGAGAAACATGTCACATGAACAAAATCTAATAACTCAGAGACCATTACTGTATAAATTCATCATCCCTATAAACATCAATACATCGTGCACACATTATGATGTACTGGATTATGTGTGGTATTTACTTTTATCAGTCTTTCTTTTATCATGTATTATCATCTAAACAAAGTGTATTAATTAAAAGTGTCTAAATGTGTTAAAAGACAGTTTAGATATGGGCTTGCAGTCTTAGAGACTTTACATGAAACATGGTAAGTCAAAAAACTCATTTTACATCATACCATTGTCACAGACACTTCAATTTACCATAGTGCTCATCTATCTATAGCTATCTACTTTCAAAGCAAAATCTTATGTATGTAATCGTCTATCTGTATAATGTGCAATGTCTGTATCAGTATGTGTTTCAATAATAATAAAAGCAGCCACTCTTGATTTATACCATTAATACAAAGGAATTCAAAGAAGATAAACAATATGCATTATTATAATACATGTATAGATCTATGTGTCCTTATTTCAGGGTTGGCAGGCCCACTACACATGAAGCAAGTCAAGTAATACATCACCATAGTAACCAAGGTGCATGGTAATAGTGTATTTTCTACAAACACACAACATCCTCTGGACATCAAAGGAAGGAGATAGAGATGTGATAACTTCATGTTTATGCATATAAACATAACATAAAAGGCAGTGAACCTATAGTTACATGTAGCAACGGCATTTACTAAAAAATTTCAGCCTGTGCATCATTTTAATTTGGCAAACCCACTGAGGTGACATGAGTCTGTCTGTATGGGCATATCGCATTGGGTCGTCTAACTATTATTCAAAGACTTCTCTAGCAGCAAGGAAGGTTAACAAAAATTTTTGTTATTGATGCCAAAGATTCTGATGTTAAATGACAGCCTCAACAGCTCATGAAGCCAGCAGAACTACACATGATGACTGCAGTTACTGCTATCTTCATAGATACTCTTTATTGCTATAAGCAAGATAACTTCATTGCTGCACAATGTGATGAAAACTACATCAAGAATTAAAGATCTACTGTATAGATACATGTGCAATAATGCTTTCCTTGCTCATGTGCCTGTACGTCATACAGCACAACAATATAGCGTGGCCGGGGCTGAGCCCTTTAATGTTTTACATTCTTCTAGTTATAACAACAAAGCACTTCAAAAACAATGCCATGCAGCCAATTAAGATATAAACATAACATAAAAGGCAGTTAACCCATAGTTACATGTAGCAACAGCATTTACTAAAAAATTTCAGGCTGTCATCATTTTAACTATAACAACAAAGCACTTCAAAAACAATGCCATGAGCCAATTCAGATATAAACATAACATAAAAGGCAGTTAACCCATAGTTACATGTAGCAACAGCATTTACTAAAAAATTTCAGGCTGTCATCATTTTAACTATAAAAACAAAGCACTTCAAAAACAATGCCATGAGCCAATTAAGATATAAACATAACATAAAAGGCAGTTAACCCATAGTTACATGTAGCAACAGCATTTACTAAAAAATTTCAGGCTGTCATCATTTTAACTATAACAACAAAGCACTTCAAAAACAATGCCATGAGCCAATTAAGATATAAACATAACATAAAAGGCAGTTAACCCATAGTTACATGTAGCAACAGCATTTACTAAAAAATTTCAGGCTGTCATCATTTTAACTATAACAACAAAGCACTTCAAAAACAATGCCATGCAGCCAATTCAGATTATCAATTATTACAAATGCATTCAATGATAAATACACATACATGCATTAATAAGTTAAGATGAAAGTTGTACAAGTCCTTTAGACACAAGATGATTATATATCTTTCTAGTTTTATTTACATCAATACGACACAACTTCCTAGCATCCATCAGACGTAGCTTCCCTCCACATTTCCTACTCTCAGCAATCATTACTCCTTTACAGTGTAAATATACATCAGGTAATATACGATGGACTGAACATATCTGTATAAAAAATAAAAAGAAAGAGGTATCAGTGCATGTTTCAAAAGGAATTCAAAGAAGATGAATGATATGCATTATACATGTATGTGTCTGCTGGCAGCTGCAAAGGTGTCACTACATTATTCTAACCAGAAAGGCTGTGATTAGTTTCGGCTGTGATTGCTCTAAGTTAACACAAGCACACACATATCCAGGGAAACTAAAGTTACTATTATGTGAAGCCATTGCCATTGCTCCCACTCACTCAAAATATGAGGAATATGGGAACAATTAGTATCAAACTGGCATTTAATGACACACTAGTACAAATCCTTACTTGTTTCTCTTCATGATCCAGTTGCTCCACACCGGGTGAGTATGTAATGTTTAATGGAGTTAATGAGTATTTTGTTTTACCAGTACTACACATTGCTTGTTGTCCTTGTAGTTCAGTATTAGTACATGATATAGTAGCACTGCAGAGGAGAAAATGTTAAACACAAAGACAAAACATACATGCATAATGCCCAATACCCATCATGTTTATGTTATGTGTTGTGGTTTCATTGCTTCAATTTATAATGTCACATAATAGACACTCACTTCTGCTGCTCTCTTAAAGCCATTGACTAATATTTGTTAAAGTTATAGAATTATGTATTGTCACCCAGCATTCCTAGTAGTTTACCTTGTTATTCTTTGTTATTAAATCAAGTGATGCCTTCATTCTTTCTCTTGTTTTCTCTCTCTTTTCTCTTAACCTTTCATACAGTTCACCACCTGTGACCAGTATAATAACAAGATAAACTGGTTTTCTTCTTTTAAACAGAATTCCTTACCAGCTAGTGTTTTGATACCAAGGCAACGATAAGTTTGAAGAATCTTGATTCTCTTGATCAACCTATTTTCATCTAATAAACCACATCTAAATAACACTGGAGAGTATCATGTCATTCATTTACTTAAAAAACTCTGTATTAGTTTTTCTGTTGTCTCTGCATCAAGAAATCTTGCAAAACGTCTCATTAAAACTCTAACAGACCTAATGTGAATGTAAACAAGAGTAGCTACTCTTGATGTAAACAAGTGCATTTACAAACAAACAATACACAACAACAATACAAACAAACACGCTAGAGGTAGTACATGTACTTACTGTTCTTCATTGGACAACAACCTTTCTCTACCTATAATCAAGAATAGA